TTTCTACAACCAGGTGGCCCCCCTGCTCACACACCCCCTGCTGAAAGAGCAGGTGGCAGTCGTGGCTAGGAGGGCCTTTGCACAGCTTCGTGTTGTGCTCTAGTTGCACCCATTCCTAGATCAGAGGGACCTAATCACTGTCACTCATGCCCTGGCCACCTCCCGTTTGGATTTCTGAAATGCGCTCTACATGGGGCTGCCCTTGAAGAGTATCCAGAAGCTCCAGCTGGTGCAAAATGCAGCGGCCCGATCAGTTATGTGTGCCCCTAGGGTGGTTCACATTACACCTCTGCTCTGTGAGCTGCACTGGTTGCCAGTTTGCTTCCAGATCCAATTCAAGGTGCTGGTTTTGACCTTTAAAGCCCTTCATGGCACAGGACGAGGTTACCTGATTACATCTGCCCATCCCATCAGGTCCGGCAGAGAAGGCACGCTCCGGGTCCCGTCTGCCAGAGAATTCCATTTGGCGGGTCCCAGAAGGAGGGTCCTCCTCTGCCGTGGTGCCCGCCTCGGGGAATCTTCTCCCCCCAGAAGTGAGATTAGCTCCATCCCTCTTGACATTCCGCAAGTCCATCAAGACCTGGCTATGGGGGTGCCAGGAGACCGGGGAGATTTTGCGATGGCTCCCTTATTAATTTTATCCCCTCCTGTTTTGTGTGTTTTTACCGTTTTTTAGGTGTAATTGTTTTTATGTATCTATTTTTTAATTGTTGTACGCCGCCCAGAGTCACCTTGTGTGAGATGGGCGGCTATATAAATATGATAAATAAAATAAATAAAAATTTCAATCCCTCCCCTCCTACTTCAGGCTTCTCCCCAGCGTCAGCACGGCAGAGTTGCCAGTAAAGCTGCCGCCTTGACACAGGTGTTGGGGAGACAGGAGGAGAGCGGAGGAGAGGCGTGTTTTGGAGCTCTGCAGCCGGGAGGTCTTTCCTTCAGAAGGAGCAGGTGGTCCAGAAGACAGGAGGAGAGGCAGAGGGGCCCAGCGAGACAAAGCACTCACATATCCCTGTTGGTTTTTGCAAAATAAAACATCTCCCCAACCCTTAGAGGGTACGGTTTAAAAAGGAACCCATGACAGTCATAAAATCATAAAACTAGCAACTCTATATGATATCACAATAAAAAAATAAAAGATGAGGCACTGGATAAGCATCCCTGGAACACTCCCTGGACAAATTCAGTTTTTCACAGCCTTCTGAAGGCCATGAAAGGGAGGGCCTGCCCTGATCCCCACACTGTGAGTTTCTCCCTTAATGCTCTAGAATAGTGTTTCTCAACCTTGGCCACTTGAACACGTGTGGACTCCAACTCCCAGAATCCCCCAGCCAGCCATGCTGGCTGGGGGATTCTGGGAGTTGGAGTCCACCC